TCTGCTCAGGTCCCTTCCGATCCTAGAAACTATGAAAATGTACTTAAGAGATGATGGCATCCTCTCAGGTAACTGATATTTATCCTCCTCTTTCCATCCTGTCTTACATCTAAATGGGGGGTGGAGGGGGTGTTGGACAGACCAGCAGCAGCTGTGAACTTTGACTTAATCGCGCTCTATAGGTCAAGAAGAGAATGACACTTGATCAAGGCAGATGTACTCTCCTCTTTCCGTTAATATAATGGAAATCACATCGGCTACTAATCTAGCTGATATGGTTCTAGCTTTAGGAACAATAGATCAAATTCTACTTTTATTTGCATGCATGAAAACTCAGTGAAACTGAATCCCATGGCTTACAATGTGGCTGCAAATGAGTAACAAAGCAGGAGGTTGTCAACCATGGTGCCACAAGTCTGTGTAACTATCCTGCAGGGACATGAGCAGAGGCAGGAGCCTACAGGCTGGATGGATAGGTGAACACTGTAAACAAATTTTTAAGAGCTATGAAGTATGTGACCCACAGTGTCTCCAAATGACTTCTGCTTCTGTGCAACAGTGCAGTTTAGAGTTTCATGGAATTTCATTAAGGTTTTGTCACAACCATGAGATCAGCAGTCTGGTTTTTTAATATCAAATCTAATACTTCCCATCCTTTTGAGAACTGCAGGACATCCTTGAGCAAAATAGTTTCTATGAAGTATGAACATCCAGGTCAGTACAATCCTACAGCCTCTCACTGTATTTCATCATTACAAACAGAACGCTTACATGAAAATGTAGTCACCAGAATTGTGTGTGGAAGTGCCTGCAGTCCTGTACCACTACCACCACCACATTAGGATTGTGAGAGAAGGGATGCCAGCCTTGAACAAAGGTTCTAGGGTTTATCCTTGTACAAGGTTTACAGGAGATATCCCATGATAAGTGAAGAGCACATTAGATACCCGTGTTTGAAGCATATGGCCTTATGAAATGCATTTGTAAGCTGTCTCCTCCTTTTCATTATAAACTGCTGTCCATGGCAGAATGGGTTTTAGGTAACCAAGTGACACAGCATAACACCATTTTAGTTACCTTTCATTCCACTCACCTCTTTGGCTGTCGTCTTGATCAGGAGAAGAGTTGGCTCATGTCCCTCAATGTGAGAATAAAACCTGTTATACACATATAAAAAGATGGCTCCTTAGTTAACTAAGCCACTAAGTTACTAGTTTGTTAATTCCACACGCAGTCTATGTTGCTAGACCCACTATTTCTCCTAACTCAAGATTGCTTTTTAGTACAGAAGAACAATAGCTGGAGCAGAATACCTATTGCAAATGTCTCCAATAGTACAATTCAAATGATAGCAGAGATCTCTAATGAAGATTAGAGGCCTGATTTGCTACTGCTTAGCACCTGGCATGGACATTTATCCTTGTGTAAAATGGGTGCAAGACACTACCAAGTGACAACAGTGGCAGTCTCTACTCACTTCACACTAAGTGAAACAAAGGAAAATTGAGCCCTGTTGTTGATCCCAGAATGCTGTCTCTTATGAGGCTTATTCCCCACCCCTTACTCACCTATGCCTCTTCTCACAGGCCCACTATGCTGGGCTAGAAGACAAGGGCAGAAAAATACCAGCAAGTATTTCCAACTGTCAAAGTCATTACTGGGTAACCTTTTGATTCTAACTCTTTGGGACACTGTGATATACATGTATCTAAGGCACTAGTTACTGCTATGACATCCTCACCCTGGACTTGGTCAGATGTACTTTTGAGACCCTCCAGGATGTTCTCACACCTTCTGGAGTGCCATTCCGCTCTGAACCCCTCTCTGCTGTCTTCTACTTGACCACTGAGAAGAGACCGAGATGCTCTTCAGGTCATCTTCCTGACCAATGGTGCCTCAACTTTACCTGACTCACCTAGGAACTGACAACTCTTGGCAGAGATTTTGCCAGCTGGAAGAATTACATGCTTTTCAGGTCATATGCTCAAAAATGTTTGCCTTTTCAGGTCATATGTTCAAAAAGATTTTGCCGTTCTTTAGAAAAGGCCTGCCTGTATGGTCAAATGCTCCAAAATCTCTGGCCAAACACTTAAATCACAATTACCACTGACAATATTGTTATTGTATTTACTTGATTAGAAGAGGATTCCTTCCACACCCCGTCCCCATTTAACAGGGGGGAGGTGGTGGTGGAAGCCCCTTACTTTACAATTGAGCACAAGGTGCCTGGGACGGGGGGGGGGAAGCTGCCTTGGCTCTGGCCCCGGGGTTAGAGCTGGAGGGCAGCTGCTGCTTGCTCCCACCCCCACTCCCTCTGCATGTTCTGCCACTCCTCTCCTACAAAGCCTCCCATCTAACCTCTCTCTCTCCTCCTCTGCACTGCTTCTCCCTCTCCCCTTTGCTGCACTCCTTACCTTTGCTCCTTGCAGGCAGGCTCTGTCCCTGCTCCAGCCTGGGGCACAGAGCATGGCTCCAGCCCAGCTCTGAAGCAGCATTGACGCAGAGCTGGCACTGCTGTTCCAGCCACTCTTGTAGCGGTAGAGGTGGGGAGCCAGCATACATGGTCC